TTTGACATAGGGACACTTATTTTCCGATAAAATATTAATAAAAAAGGCCCATCATGAGGACACTGACTCAACATAAGGACATTTTGTGATGAAATTGCAAATGAGTTTCAGGCCAAATTACAAGAAACAGATATTTCCAACCCTAAAATTGATTTAAGAAAAGTTCTTGGGCATTTCTATCACAAATTTACTTTCCATTTATCTAATTTTAAAAAATTACCTCCAGCACAGAAGGACTTCCTTCTCTTTTTTTCACTTGAATGTTATTTTTACAGAGAATGCCAACATTTCTATGTACAGTACCATACAGAGGTATCAGTATTCAAGTCCCCAAATGTCCATATTGAGTATAAATATATTGACAGAATCAGTTTCAATTGGGAGACAATTTTCATTTTCATGGAATTATGGTGAGTATTTTGTCCAAAAACACCAATTAAAAATTATAGAATGCAAGTCTACCCAAAAATAACTCAATTTAGGGACATTATGACTTAGGGACCCTTTTGATGCACTAATTTTGTTTGCCTCTAAGGGTCTCACTCTATTTTTTTAAATTTAAACCATCATCAAAATTTACGTTGAGTTTGTGGCTAAATCATCAGTTTCATATTCCAGTAAATACCGTACATTCAGCGTTTTGCTAGAGTTTATTTTAGTCAGATCAGTGATTCAAGCGACACCTACACGTCACATCCCGAAACGTTGACATTGAACCAAGAACAACCGCAGTGTTTATAAATACGATTCCGCCTAGAGATCGCCGGCATTCTATGGATTTTACGGCTTTTATTAACGTAAACCACATTATTCTGCATAATTAGGATAAGTTATTCACTGTCTGATCCTAAAAAAAACTGGTAAAATCGACTTGGGCCCTTTCCCACATGACTTTCTCGTGAATAATTCAAAAGCAAGGAATAACAGAGCTACTTTCTGTTCGAGTACAGTACTTCGACAGCTGTCACAAGTCAGGAGTACTTATTCCAACTATATCTCATTGAAATGCAGAACTTCAATAGCAAAATCTGCCGCATTCGTTATGGGTATAAAAATTTGGATGAATTATGATTTTTTTTCGTATAAGAAGCAGAACGAGGATATAAAAATAAAAATTAAAATCGCTATATAAATTCATTATCATTTTCAACACAAAAAATCATTATGATCTCGAGTAAACGCTTCATGTTCAGAATTTTTTTTTTTTGTAAAAGAAAACGCAGCAAAAATGTCTCCCGCAAATGCTTTGTAATACATCACCACCATACTTCATCATTTATAAAAAGTTTTTTGAGTCGAAAATGAAATTCCTACACATAAAAATTTCAAAACTGCTCATACTTTGATCACGAATTTCTCAGCATTCACTTCAACGGTTCAACCTCAATTGATGAATTCCATCAATTTGAAGCTATTATTTTGGACACCCAAAGAACTCCATTCCAAAACACTGTTGAAAATAGCCAACATGTTTGAACAACCCTGGAATTATTTACAGTGCCAATATATGTGCCCTTTCTTGAGACAGTACTTTCTCATAGGATATCGTTCCACGCAAAAACAACAACAAATACGAATTTCTAGAATAAATTCGGACAATAGAGGAACCAGTGGGAAAAAATAAATAAATACAGAAGCCCACTTCCGACTTCCAGCAGTTCCTTTTTCCGCCAAACACAGCATACCAGGGTTCTGCTTAGTACGCAATTCGCCGCCAAGACAATTCAGGGCCGAACAATGAAGAGTCCCCTTTTTTGCTGCCTTTTTTCTTTAGCATTCACCTCAGTCCTCACACGCTTTTAATTTAGAAGGAAAAAGTCGGAAGAAGGAAAACATATATACTGTAATGTATATACAACAACACGTGTCTGCGTTTTTTTTTTTTTTTAGTTCACATCTCCCCCACCCTGAGACCCATCTCCACACCGCGTGACGACGAGATGACAAACTCAGCGCCACTCAACTTGCCGTCGGACATCTGAGCGCAAAGATCGACTGAACGCCCGAAAATGCTCAAAGCCGAATGTGAATATTTTTGTCAAATAAAATATTTTTTAAAGATAAGTGGAATACGTTGAAAATTTACTTCCATGAAATATAGAAGGAAAAAATAAACATTATCATCAGATGAAATTTAAACCCTCCTTCGTTCTTTTCCCTTTTTTTTCTTCTCAAGTCATAAACTCTGTCCCTCGCCCGTTGGACATTTTTGAGAATGTTTTATTTTTCCCGTTCAGGGTAAATTCATAGCATGCTTTTATTATTTGTAAAACAATCAAATTAGCAATGAGTGCGACAGTATTTATCTTGATTTTTTACGAAGGGATTTTCCCGTACAACGTGTGAAACATGATTTTAATCGCAGAAGAAGTATGAAAATATTTTCTAAAGCATTCGGCAAAATCGAGGAAATTCATAATCTATAGATCTAGTCCATCTTCCCCATGTGAAAATACACAATAAAATCCGTCGTTGAAATTCAATCGAGGAGCAGAAAATCAATTGCGAAGTTTATTTGATCATTCGCCACCGGCTCGCGTCGTACGATGAATTTTCACGCTCGTGAAAGATTTGAAACAAAAATTCGTGCGAGAAAACGTCAAGGTGATAAATGGGGTTCAGGGTTTTTATTCAATTTTTCGAATGAGAACCCGACACCACGTGACATGGGGTTGCAGGACGAGAAACGAACCCGGTTCAGTGATATCAGCCGCGGCCTCGTTTCGACGCCCGGCGGAATTTATTCTCCCCACAGACACGCATGATTTCCGTCTTTATTTTTTCGTCTTCCCAACGTGTCGCCTCTTCGCATTCCAAGGCATCGGGAATATATATCTAAAAAAAAAGAAGTTTAAATTGGCAAACTGAGGACGTGATGTCGAAAAATCCAGATGCTTCAGATAAGAAGCCCTTCAATTTGAACGCGAATTCGCGCCGCGGAAGCCTCATTTTTTTTTATAACGAAAAACAATGTTCAGACTGAGAAGCCTATAGAAGGGGAATTTTTTGATAAAAGAAAGAAACACAAACAGAAATTTATCAATTATCAAATTTGAAGAAGTAACCGGCATTCTGATAGGAAACGTCGGACAGAAGAAAACGCCTCGTTTATTTTGTCAAGATGGACACAGATGAACAGTTTAAATAATTTTTTTTTCCGAAGGAACATAGATATTTATCGAATAGAGTACATTTAAAATTGGCGATTTCAGAAAAAGAATGCGATTTTCGCGCACCTTTTTCAACATAGACCGTGTCCCAAAAATTGACGCTGATCAATGAATTGTATTTTGGATAGAAAAATATTTGTTCACTAGTTCCCATCGATGGAAAATTGAGGAATTCGTATCTTATGAATTTAAATTTTTTTCAAAGTTATCTAAATTATAAATATTATCCTGCACTACGACAGTATCGTGATTTTTCATGTCGAAATCCGGTAAATAATTAAATGATTCATAACTGATTAATAATATTTTTTAAATCAGGTTAGGAGCCTTTCTTGAAAAATAAACCTTGCCGTTTATTAATAAAAAATCCTTTTTACAATTTATCGTAGTCACTTACATGATCTAAAAAAATCACGCAGCAAAAATTGAATAATTTTTTTATGAAAATAATTCTATTGGAATATTCGCAAATTTTCCCATCAAACATATTATCTGGAGTTCTAGAATAATTCTGATCGACTTTCCTCACGGTAGGTAATATTATTGCGCATTTTATTTGGTGATGTTAGCATTTCAGCGACATTATGTTTGAAATGATACGGTAGTGTCTGAAAATTTTCAATTTTTATCTAGAGATACTCTGAAACATTTGAATTCAACTCTTCAAGAATGCCGAGTTTTCCCGTTCAAATGTCACATAGGAATTAGGTCCTGAACTCGTTTTCGGATGCCCTGGCATGTCCCCAACATCGTCACTTGTCTCAACGACGCCTCCCAATTACCACGACTATATAAAAAACAAATATTCCCTATAGAAAAAAAATCGACACCAAAGATATGTAATGACTAGAGAGACAAACCGCGAGTCACGTGAAAATAAAGCACGAGTTTCAGCACCTGTTCGCATGATTGGACATGTTCCATCATCTCAAACCCTTCAGTGTACATTATAAACAAGACATTTTTGAATGATCTTCGTTTTAAAGTTGGAGCCGAAAGAATTGAATCTGAAGAATTGACATTCTTCAAGCATAGAAATAAAATTTATTTTCTATAATCAATAATAAAAAAACAAAGACGCCGGGAATATTTAATGCTGACGCCTCACTAGTTTGATAATTAATTATCTATATCGAATTTTAAAAATTGCAAATTAAAAACTAAAGATGCTCGAACATAGTTGAAATTGTTTCCAAGAAAAAAATAAAAATAATGACGAAAAAAAAACAATCTGCCCCTCTGAAATGTTTCAACAACCATCAACTCAATTTTAAAAATTTTAGAATAGGAGGAATAAAACATGCGGACCAAATATGCATATAAAATGTTACACTAAATTCCAGATTTATTTACAATCTGACGATTTGAAAATAAATGACGTCAACAATTGGGAAAATAAAATTCACAATAAAAAATGCTATCATATATTAATCCCCGATTTTTGTTCCTAATGCAGTAAATCTGCTTTTAACAATCACGGAATCCATGGCTCATTAAATATTTTATTTATAATGAACACGTAAAAATACTCTTGTATGCAGTTGGAAGTTGGTTCCTCTGAATGATTTCGGGTACAAGGGAAAAGTGAGAGAACCAAAAAGAGTGTCTCGTGTTTAAAAATACACTTCATACACAAATAAATTCCCTGCTGGGAATCCTTGATGTTATGCTGGACTCACGACAGCCCTCGATCAGCTGTAGGCAAATGCAGTGTGCTCAATTTCAGGATTCAAGAGTTCAATTCGACGATGACACAGATGCATAAAATCTGGGCCACGAAGACCCGGAAAGAAATCTTGAGTGGGTCCCATGAAATCCCAGTTTGACTTCAGACCTCTAACCACAGTGTTCAAGGTTTTCGGTGGCTCATCTGAACCATGTTTCGATACAGTGAGTTTTTGATTTGAAAGACTTGGAAAATTTTCAAGAGGGCACAACTTGAGAAATGAAAAAATTACGTGCATTTAAGGAATGTGCTGTAGACAGTTCGATTAAAAAAAACATACAGCAGTACAGTTAAATATTACTTTATCAAAATTCATCATAGACATAATGCTATGAAAATTTAGTTATATCAAAGTTTCGAAGTTCATCACAGCAAATTAATTCCTAATATTGGCTTTCAAGCACTTCCTAAAAATGTTCACAATCTTCTACAATAATGATAATTTTTTATTTGAGGCTAAATTTTTAGAATAAATAAATTATTCTACAATAATTTTTAAAATAAGACAATCAAGCAAAAACTATTCCATTAAAAATCTATCACTTTGCTGGATAATGTTCTGATGAGGATAAGAAAACCTCGGATCTGAATATTTAATTCCTGGTTTCAGAAAATAAAGTAACAACTTTCCTTAGAAAATTCCCAAAATCACTCTGAAATTAGGACAACTCTTTTATAGTTGGGTGTAAAGTCGAATTAGTTTAACGCGTTAAGTTTTGATCAGATTTCGATTAGTTTTTGTTTTCAAAAAATGCTTTGAACAAATATTCGAGAAAATAGCAAGGAATATACAGTAGCTTCAAAATTGGAATATCAATCGATATTTTAAAAACCTAATTCTGCTTTTTTAAATTTTAAAGAAACAGTCAGAAAGGCACAGTCGAGAAAAACGATCCCAGCCTTAAACTTGGAGTTTTCTTTTTTCTCCTTATTTTGGCACAGCGAAGGAACTGTTTTTGGCAGCTGTGCTGTTCGCGACATTAGCCACAGAATCGATTAGCGCGGAACCGGATCAAGAAACCCAGCCAGAAGAATTCCTAACCCCGAGGGCCACCTGGGAATCATTGATCACAGGTTTATTTCCTGGCTTCGGGAAAAGGTTCCTCGCGGATATGGACCGAAACGCGAGGTTGACCTCTGCCAATAAACCCCTGGTCACCTACAACGAAAACACTCAAGGTGAGCTGTATATACATTTAGTTTTTTTTTTTCAGCCGAACGTAAACCACAAAATCATCAAAATCTTCTCATGTTTCTTTGAACTTAAATTTCAATACTTTTTGAGTCCCAGTTTCTTTTTTTTCAAGCGAGAATTTATTTAATGACGCGAAAAGAAAACTTGCCGTTTTCCGGATGATGTCAGGATATTTATTTTAAATATCTCACACTGTTTCAGCTCATCTCGGCGAAAAGTTTCAATTAATTTTGTACAGAATTAGCTGTGGGAAAAAAAAACACAAAAAATGTAAACAATCTTCTATAACTTTCCAAAAACACGCTATTGCAATATATAGCATACAGTAGTTTGATTTTATGGTGCGGACACGTGAAACGAATTAGAATGAATGATTATACAATGTTTGACTTGACCATGATCAAGTTCGTCAGTTAAGCGATTCGAGTGACATCTACACATTACATATCCGAGAGGATCGTCGAAATTGAACTAAAATTTATCACGGCGGGGGATTTCGAATTCAAAACCACTTTCTAATTCGATGTATTTCACATCAGTACACTTTAAAAATCATGATTTAACGTAATTGGGTATAAATTATTGTTCTCTGCGTGGTTCATTGTGAAAACTGAAAAATTTCCCTACTCTGGATTCTGGAAACACTTCCTTTTCTGTTTGGTGTGGGGGACATTGTTTTCCGATTGGAACGCATATATTTCAACTGTTCACATTCCAGAAATCTCAATTCATGTTTTTTTCAGCTGAGGCTAAATTATTTAGGGTTCGGTGAAATTATGATTTTCGAAGTCAATGAAAATAAGATTAACAAATTTGAATCTAGTCTCATGACAAGACGAATTAAGATCCAATTAGAATATTGCAATTATGTGAAACTTTTTTCGTATGTCCCCGTGAAAAAAGACGATGAAAGGATAAAAAATCCAAGGGTTGCCCGGCATGGGTTCGACGAAAGTGTAGATTATTCACATACGGTAATTCACTGAAATAATGTACGCCAATTTCTCTGGGTATTCCTACATACATTGACCAGTGAATCAATCTACATCAACAAAATTGTTTTCCCCATTTATTCTCCTTTGTCATTCATTGCAGCACTGAACGTCGCTTTCCCGTCGAAAACTAGCGAATTCAGCTCACTGTCAAATCAACCCAGAACGGCAGTCGTCACGCTGACAAATTTGGCCGGTTCAGCTTTCACAACAACCGGGAAAATAATTTTCTTTCAAGAAAACATGATACAATCAGTTTCCCTCGTCGGCAATATCGTGACAGTACCCGCGGCAGCTAGAACTGGCCTCAGGTTGGAGATCAGGTCAACTGCCAGTGATGACTGCACAAATGTTGGGCAATTGTTCAATCCAACAGGGGTGAGCATATTTATGGTCATGTCAATTATGAAGCATGTCTCATAAGAGCCAGAACTATTAAGAATAAGCAACTTTCAAAGGAGCAAAAATGTTGGTAGAGAACCTCAAAAGCATAAGAGATTAAGCCTGAAAATGTCAAGGACTAAAGTGAGACCCCAAGGTGTGGACATAATTGGTGCAAGAGGGTCCCTAAGTCAAGTCTCATTTTCCCTTAGACTTACATTATCTAATTTTTAATTGCTTTTTCATGGACAAAATACTCACCATAATTCCATGAAAATAAAATTTGTCTCCCAATGAAACTGATTCAATAAATATATTTTTCAACACAATATGGACATTTGGGGAATTGAATACTGATACTTCTGTACAGTACAGAGAAATGTTGGCATTCTCTATAAAAACAACGTTTAAGTGAAAAAGAGAGAAGGAAGTCCCTCTATGCTGGAGGTAATTTTTTTTAATTAGCTAAATGGATGGTAAATTGGTGAGATAAATGCCCAAGAACTTTTCTTACATCAATTTTAGGGTTGGAAATATATATTTCTTGCAATTTGGCCTGATATGTATTTGCAATTTTATCACAAAATGTTTTTATGTTGAGTCAGTGTCCTCATGTTGGGCCTTTTTATTCATTTTTCATGGGAAAATAAGTGTCCCAATGTCAAATTGTCTGCATGTTGGGGTCTCACAATAGGAGAGCAAATCTCAAAAGCGCAACAACTAAGATAAAAAGTCTCTAAAGATAAGTCTCAAAAAAGAAAGAACAAAGGGATCAGGTCTCGAAAAAGCAAAACGAAGTGAGCAATAAGTCTAAAAAAAAAAACTTGAACTGTAAAAGAGAGCAAGTCTCAAAAGAGCGAAGACTGTAGGAGAGCAATAATAAGAACTTGGGTGAATAAGCGCGAAGTCGAGTACAGTACTGCACTTTTAGCCTAGTTCACTAATTTCCAAAGGTTTCCGTTTCTCCAAAATATTTCTGCATGTTGCTTTTTTCCAGGCTGAAAACGGAGGACTTATATCTTCAACCGGAATAGCCGCAGCGAATGGCGTCTGGGGCTTCTACACAACTGCTCTCCCAATTTACAGGATTTCTCTATACGATCCCAACTCAATTTTGGGTAGAGCAGTTTTGCTCAGCCAAAATGGAGTCAATTTGGCCTGTGGGCGGATCTTGGCAGCGTGACAACTGCCCACTGATTTGTTAATGATGAAATTTGAAAATGCCAACTTATTTATTTCAACAAGGAATCAGTAAAAACATGTTTTCTTTTGCCCTTCTTCCAGCTGAATTTGATTTTAATACTGTAGTAATATTGTAAATCAAGACAAAACATACAGATTTCCAAATTTTTTTCCTGGATTATGACATGACAAGCTTTTGCATTCCGACTCATATACTACCGATTACTGTTCTGTATCACCGACGCCTTCAATTAATTAGGATAAAAAACGCAGAATAATAAGTGACAAAGATATTTTCCTAACAAATCTTCCGACAAGAAAATGCGTGCTCAAAAATGCTCGAAGTTCGCGAGGCATAGCCACAAGATTACTTCACTGTAAATTGTAGCAGTATAGTCTTGATATACACATTTTTGTAATAAAATACGATTTTTAAATCTTCGAATCAAAAGGAAATAAAATAAGGGCACCTTCGATTTGTAAGCATAAACATTTTTACAACTGGGCCACAAAATCATGTATATTTTGATAATTATGTTCTCTCATATATAAACTTCCAAAAACTAACAAGTCGATTAACAAGCCACTCAAATTACTAACATTAAATCACCACTCACCAGTCAGATAAATCCCTCAGTTGAAAAAATTGGTTTTTCCTAGTAAAATTTGGCTGCAAAACTTATGTAGAAGTGCATTATTGAGATGCCAATTTCTGCCTCCTGTCACCTTGACATATACAGTAGTGATATTATTTAGCAGCCTTATTGTGAGCTGTTCTTGTGTCCTGGTGCGCTAAAATTCAACTGCCCAGCTTCAGTCGAAGAATCTGCCTCACGTCCGCATTTCTCACAATAAAATGAATAAATAATCGAAAAATGCACCCCTGATCCAAGTCTCGCGAATTTTCGCCCCGAACACAGCAGAAAATGACACGTGAAACAAGAACCACTAAATTCTGAAAACCTCTCATCAGAAGCACATCCAAGATAATTTTATCCACATTTCAAGACCCGTGCTGTCCTCTGCACTTCGGAAAACTAAACGAAAATAGAGAAATTCACGATGCTAGCCTATATGAAGCCAGGCCAGACGACCGGTGCCAACTGATGGGAATCGGGGGAAGATGCACAGCAACAACACAACGATCGGCGAGGAATTTGGCTGATGCAACGCCGAACCCTCGGGAAATCATCTTCCTTCGTTGACCCCTCGCAAAAAAAAAAAAAAAAGTACCCCGCCAAAACGGCGCGTACTGCGATTTCCAATCGACGAAAAATTGAATTCTGGTGGAATTTGCATGAGATCTCGATAATCTGAACTACGGCTTTGTTTTGAATCTGTGAAAGGTTCCTGTTCCTGGAAACTTCCCGAAAATTCAGAATGAGTCGTAGCATGCAGTTAAAAAATAAATCTCCTTTAATGCTTCATCAAGGTCAACTTACTTAGGGTTCGGTGAAAGCCTGATTTTCAACGTAAGCGGAAATAAAATGAACACACACAGATCTAATCTCAAGACAAGACGAAGATAAATTTAGAATACTGCGAGTATACGAAAAAAAAATTTTCTATGTCCCCAATTTCGCATGTGAAGTACATTACAGTACAGTTTTTGAGGCGATATACACATTTTTATAACAAACCATGATTTAATTCAAAAGTAGAGGGCACCTTAGATTGGAATAGCAAAAGCGTTTTCACAATTCGACCACAAAAAACACTGAGATTTCATTATCAAGCATAAAAAGTTCCGAATTCTTGAACTTGCTGAAAATTTCAAACGACGCCCCACCATTCATCAAAAAGTTTTGCATATAAACGTGTTCCCGAAAAAAAAAACGCCATATATCGTACGTGTTTCTTCCCCCCCAAAAAATGCCTGCACGGAATTTCATTTTGGATATCAGGTTTTCAGTTGAACAGCTTCTGAGTCTGAAGCCTAGAAATCTCTGCGGGATGAATAATTAGACTTAGAGCAAGCCTATTTTACAGTAATTTTCATAGGATTTACTCAAATTACATTCTTTCACTCGCGCAAATAATCGCTCATTAATTGACTCCTTGGGTGAATCTTCACGATTGGAATCATTATTGAAGAATTTTCCCGGATCAGAAAATTCGTCATGGGATCATACGTCGGGCGGGACAGATTTTGAGGGATTTCCAAATTGAAGTTCTTCCCCGATTTGAAGTCAACCCGTTGAACAGTACTTCAACATTTCTTCTTCAACGCAGTTCAATTATGTACATTGGATTCAACGGGGCTTCTAGAAATTCGGAAAATTTGTCCTTAGCTTGGCTGATTGAGTCTCTACCCCAACTTGCCACCACACCATTGGCAACCAAGAAATACTGTATTGGGATGCAGGTGGACCCTCTCAACAACAATCTGATGTACAATTTTCTCTGCAGAAAGAATTTTTTTTGTCGCCCGAATTTTGTTGGAGGTAGTACACCTTTACTGCTTAAAATTATCAGAAAACTCTGATGAGATAATAGAAAAATTACTTACAAAAGTCAGTTTCCATTGTTGACCCACAGGGATTCATCCAGATAACCGTGCAACACTCCTGTAGTCCTGTGCTCCTCACTTGAAAACTGTACTTGCAATTTCACTCGCTGGAAGGTCAAGAAAATGCTGCATACATGATCAAGCATTTGAAAATATTTATAAAAAAAAAAAAAAAAAAAAAGCACGACATTTCTGGACTGATTACGAACACGCATCTATGCCGAAATAAACAAAACCGTAGGTACCAAACAAAAGCAGGTCTTTTTTCACAGACGCTAAAAATATTGCACCCCATACAAAAAAAACATTCCCCGAAGGAACAGAAAAGCTCCACGAAAAGGGCGAGGAATGCCTCTTATTCCAACATATCGTCCCAAAAAATTCCTTGACCGCACCACAGTTTCATCGCTCGAATGTTCCCCCAAATCAGTTCAATGGCAAACAGAGATTCATTCTGAAAGCCGGATTTCATGGAATCAGCAGTTTTGCTCAAGATATTCGAAAAGCGATCCCAGCGGAAATTCTTTGCATGAATTTTGCGCTTTCAAGCAAGAAATATAGCTCTTCAGTTTCTCACTACTCAAATTCGGTCACCGGAACACCATAATCCATTTCGAGAGAAACAGCCATCAAAACGTATTCTCTGGTTGATTCCTTGAATCTTAGCTAACCAATGTTGATTTCCGAATGCCGAAGATTTTTCAAAAATCGCAATTTTCCAACAGATGAAGGATTTCAGAAGAGAAAAAGTTTGCGAACATCCTGCATTTTCCGGATAAGAATTATAGATTTTTAAAAATGATGTCAATTGAGCACCAGATTCAACAATTTTTAAAAAAGTAACGATATTCTATTCTCGGTACAATAAAAAATATTTCCAGATTCAAATTCAACGACCAACAGAGCTTTCCTCGAATACCACAATTGATTCTACTCGGTACCTTTTTCAAAAACAAATTTTGTTAACGGAAAAATGCTTCTCTGAAAATTTTGCGCTTTCAGGCAAGAAATGTATATTTTCTAGGGTTTCTCCAAAATTTCATTTAGTCCTTGGACCTTCGAATACAGCCACCGCCATGAAAAAAAAGACGTCGAAAAAAAAAAACTTTTGCTCTTGTCAAAAAAAGGCAATCACAGAATCAAAGGACCCAAAAGAGATTCCTGTTGAGTGCCAAAATCAATAGAGATTCGAAATCATTTGCAGCTGCGCAGAGAATTTGTTCGTGTACAATCAAGATATTTCCGCCACGGAAGATTTTTCTCCAGTTTCTCACAAATCAAATTCCGTCACTGGAGCATCGGATTCATCCACTGCGTTCAGCCATCGAAAAAAAAACGCACTTCTCTGGTCAATAAAAAGTACTCTCCCATCATTTGATCAGATGCCAAATGAATATACGCAACTGACCCACGCGCGAAAAAAAAAAAAATTACCCGCTTTCACTTAGGAGTAGTGTCAGAGACCACCTCACTCGAAACTTCCTGAATCGTAGAAACCCTGGGCCTAGCATTATCCGGCGGAATGACCAAACCCGCTTCAAGAAGCCTCTTTTCCTCTGCTAAGAAGGGTTCTGCGATATCGCCGAACGACACAAAGAACATGGCAGTTCCGAGGAACACGAAGAACCCTGCTACACCGTAAAGAAGAAGAGGCCGAAAAACCACAGCGGTTCCCCACAGCGGCCCTAGGATGTTCCCCAGATAGTTGCAGACTCTTCGCACTGCGACGGATTTTTCTGATGAAAAAAAGAAAAAGGAAGAGAAAAATGTTCGAGGGTTAGTGAAAAAATGCATGAGAAGCATAAAAAGGGAATTATTTATTTTTCAAAATACCTTGCTGATTCCTCGGCACATGCTTAGAGAGTAACGACGTTGTCCAAATGCTGATCCCCGGCGCCGCCAGGAATTGGAAACATAAAGCAACCGTATACGCAGGGAAAAGTTCAATTCGCGGACCAGCTGTGAAAATAACATATGAATCAATTATAATCCCCATTTGGAAAATTACGATCGCAGCATCCATTGACGGCCATTCACTATAAACCGATTTCAAGACTTGAAAAGTTGAAAGAACAACTCCAACGCCCCCAAACGCCTATTACCTCGTCTTTACAAAGGTGTCACCTGAGTTGCTGCGACTCATCAGGAGTAGTTCAACTGACGTCTCCAGAACAAAATTATTGGAATTGGTTAAGTTCTGAAGATTTGTTTGGGCTCTATACCTGCATTCATGACTCAAAATCTTATACGAGCTCCCCTCCTGAAACCCGGATGTGCAGTTCCGTAAAAAAGCTTGATTGAAAATCAAAACTTACTTATTTCACTCTAAAATTGTAAGGATAGAAACACAAAAACCGCTCAGGTTATGATAGAGCGGATAATTATGTTCCTCTCAGTCAAAATTAGTGATTCAGGTGACACCTACCCATCATCCTATGAAGTATAGCTGGGAGATAATAAAAGCGAAAAAGTTTTGACAAAAATGCATCCTTAATTCCTTCCAACTCGGAAGTCGCCTGAGTTTATTCTCATGGAAGCGTTGAGAAGAGATAAATTCTTGAACAATATGCTCACTCTCTTTCATGAAGAACACAGCCATGAACAATGCGGCCAGAGATGCGATTGTCATACCCAAGATGAGTCCCATGGCAAGCAAAGTTCTTCTCAAATGCTTTTTTGACCAAGCAACGAACACGAAAAACACACCAAGGGTCTCCAAAGCGAGAGCCATCAGAACGAAACTGACCTCAAGCGGGCCCATATCCAAGAAATGATCCAACGTTGGCGCAACTGTGGACTAGAAAAAATGTATCGTCAGAAAACTCAAATTTCAAAAATAAAAGCCTAATTAATCCCTCCTTTTATATTTTCCCATCCACAGGATCCAGAGAATACGTCACATCTTCCTCTAAATACGGCTTAATCTCAATAGATCCGATTACAGCCTGTATCCCAAGTTTCTAGGTTACCTTATTCGAAAAATAAGGGGCATATGTACGCGTACATATGCTTCAAAAGCTCACCTCAACAAGGGACTGGCAGAAAAAACCGAGCATTTGCATGAACAGCAGACAAACAACAGTGTCTTTGGAAAAAGCTTGAAGGAACGACACGGAACTAGTAGAACGCCTTCGGCTCATTCGCCGGGTTTTTTCTTCACGCCGAATGTCCTGCTCCTCCTCTTCTCTCCGCTCTCTTTCAATGGTTCCAACAGACGGACATCTCGCCAAACACGTTTCGCAAAAATGACCGGCTCTTGGGCGCAAAAGAGGCGTTCTTTCCAACATGTATTCCTTTTGGAGGAAATTTCGCGGAACTGTAGCAGGTCGACCGCAGGCACACCTGTAAAAATCATAGGATTCAAATATAATTTACCGGCGTTGAGCTTTAGTTATACATATTAAATTTAAAAAGTTTGCGTTTTTCTTCGCGGATTAACTCTTCTGGGGTAAGGTAATCCTAAATAGGAGTTAATGCAGTAGCTCCGTACGCTCGTTGAATACTTTCAAGGGAAACCTGTGAAACGTTGACTTACATCGATCAAATGTAAGGCCAACACACGACACAATAATTTATATTACACAAATAACGTAATTTGAAACTCAGCATTATACTTGAATGACCTGACCTAGCACTTGACCTGATAAATGATGTAATCAGTAAAAATATACATTGTATATGCATACAAACAAACCGTATGAAAAGTATAGTGAACAATTCGAAAGAAACCCGCGATTGCTAAAAGCTACTTTCCTTGCAACGAAGTCCCTTTTTAAGTTCTACAGTTAATCCCTCAACTGGAATATAATCCAATCATGCTTTCAGTACGGTAAAAATCTCATGGTTCGAATAGAACTCAGGACGAACAATCGAATTTATTCATAATGTACCAGTACTGTACTACTGTACGAACAAAAGATGCTAAAATTTTCATGTATGGCAGAAATGCTGCCGAGGTCATTAAAAAGTTCATTCAATTTAAATTTTAATGACTGAAAGAAGCACTTGGAAGCCTGCGTTTACATAATCACGCGTTTTACTCGCCAACGATTCTCCCAACTGATTTTAATGCAATAAACGCGCTTCCTACTTCTGTATATTTTCTTTTCACAATTTTAAGAAGGAGCTCGTACCTCGGACTATCGTAACAGGCGTGAAACACGACGGCAAACATGATCCATGCGACGAAGAGAAAACATCCTGGAGCAGAATCTGCGGTGAGCCGGATGGGTCCGAAAGAAGAACCCTTGAATTCTTCCAATACTATGCCATTTCTTCCAACCGCCGTGTCCAGCAAGTTCAAAAGATAAACATAGACTGGTGATAATGCCATTCCGATTTGCCTGGTGGCGAAAACACGACGCAACAAGGGCTTTCGCTCCTCCAACGGAGTCGACTTGCATAGCTCATTGTAGATCACAGTAACGACTCCAACTCCGAAGCCTTTGAAAGCAAAAAATGCGTTAATTATCATCCCGTTTTCATATTTAATTAAATATCACGTTCTGTCGATTACCGTAATTAACTACGTTCCATGTGCATAATAAATTAAGATACACCATACTGTATGATGACTACTTTACATGAGACGCACGTTCATTACATTCAACGTCTAAAAAATCGGTGGAGTAAAATCATCCATTCACTCAGTCGCTGGACCTCTTGAACACTTCCCAAAGAAATCAGGGCTTAAAATTCGGTGCAATATCGAACATTTACGATAGGCAAGATCTATGAATGATGCTCTGGTCAGTTCGGATCTCTCCCTCGACGGTACAAATGTAGGACGCGATAAAATGCGACACGTCATCAACGGTAAGAGACACTCAGATTGAACTTAGCTGATTTTCGCGTAAGACGTGCGCCATGTTTTCCACTAATTACTGTACAGTAAGAAAGAGGAATCGAGAGGCAGACGCTCACCAGCAATCATTCTTCCAATAATGATGAACCAAACATTCAGCCCGATGAAGTACAAAGCATTCCCAAGCAATGGACATAGCGTGAGGAATAGTATCGTAAGTCTCACGCTAGCAGGACGATAGCGACTGTTCTCACTACACACAAGTCCGCCCAATAATCCTGAGAGACTGAAACCTACAAGAGAAAACAAATGTGGTTAGCACAACCAATAATCCACGAGTCCGTCAATATATTTACCTGATAACAGTAATCCGAAGTAAAACGGGTCCGTTCCATCGATTGACTTCAAGTATCTCCACGCCGTTGGCATAATCAATCCTGCAACACCAAAATACTCACGTAAACAATATTTCATTGATTCTCTCCAAGCGCATGCTCACCATAATCCAAGCCAAGTAGAAAATTCGCGAAGAAAACCAGATTATGCAGCATAGATCTTCTGTCATGAAAAGACAGGCTATGAACCCGTGTGAATTTAGAAGCCATGGCGGGTTCGGCGCCGCGCATCCTGATGCTTCACGATCTGCGTATTCATGCAGCGTTTTCACTCAGGTCGGACGGAAACATTTGAATTATCTGCCATGCCGGTAACTTGAGAAAATCACTGTATTCACAGCGTTTCCGGACGTCCAGACTTCAACACACAAGATTCAGAACTCTTCGGCAAACTCACACGGTGAAATACCTGAAGCTCCGTTCTTTGACATGCCCAATAAGGAACAAAGACGTCGAGATCTGCAAGAATTTCGAACGAACAGTTCAGTTTCGGGTATGATCAAACCCACTTCAATTTAAGCGGGACACGATAACTTCATTGCGTTCAACCAATATTAACCCGCGGTGTTTCGAATTTAATAAGATCCCCTCAAGGAGGATGAAATTGGAATGGTGTAATCACACGAAACGAATGAACTAAGTGTCTTAGCGGCGTGAAGTCAATAAACAGAAGGAACACTGTGGCACTGTCAGAACTTGTCCTGCCACAGATCGTTTCCGAGGGATAAGTTTAGTAGCAAACGGTCGTCCGGAGGGACACATAGCTTTTTGAGACTTCGAGTCGTTGACAGCAGCAGGAAACTTTAAAAATACAGTATTTCACATTTAGAAACACAATTTACGCGAATTCTCAGGTAAATTTTTATTGAACAGAAATATGTATTGATGCCAGAAAACCCTCAGACTTGCTATGATGTAGGCATAGAGGGGTTACACAAAGATTAACTCAATTCATCGATGCTCCACTTAAATGTGGCTATATTTTGATGCATTCAGATAACTTCTATACATGCCTGGCACAGTACATGGTTTCCTTATTCAAACCCCCAAATATATTGAGAAATTATTCCAGATATCCCAACTCGCATGGGCCAGTTTTTGGTTGATCTGCGTTTATTTAGATCAATATAGGCGAAAAATCCTTTTTAATGCCATAGTCAAAATTATATCTGAGGGCAAACATTTTTGTTTAAACCCGCATTAAATGAGGCGAATGGCAGAAACCATCTCACATTGCTACAATAAAACGAGTCAACCACGCAATATACAGGTGAACATTTTTCTGCATTACTTCAGCTAAATTAACAGTTTATGATAATACAATCTGAGTAAATTCAATCAATCAATGCAATTGAAGCATGATGCTACAGGATTTTTCATGGAACAAAGTCATTCAAATTCCTCGAATTTGGCTTGAACAGTTTTGAGTGTCTTTAAAAAAATATATAAATGGAACATCAATGATGATCCAGTCCATGAACAATTTTTCCTGAGGTTCTTGCTGCTGAATAAAATTAAAAATCTTTAGTAACGTCTGCATATTTGTGTTGATTAAAATATTCTAGATATGCATTGACAAACATTTTCAAACTTTATTTTGAATTAAATTTTTCACCTGTTTACATTTTCTGATTGCAGTCATTTCATAGTTTTCATTTGCATTTTCGCTATGAGCATTTTAAAAATTCCAATTACACATGCTCCCAGCCATGAGCCGCACTTGGGTATCAAGGTATTTGCATCAATTGAAACTACAGTATTACAATTGAAGTTGCACAGAACAAAAGGTGTTAAAACATCCAGAACTGACCATACTTCAAGAATATGCCCAATTTTAAAATTTGTCTGCATGTGCTGTAAATTAAATGAGCATTATTTTATCAAGTCTTGAATATTTTACCTTTACAAAAAAGATTTTCAAATTTCATTTATTGATCCCTTTGACAAAGGCTATAATCATATGCCTCTACTAATTTCTTTTACAGCCCCTATGCTATATTTATATTGGAAGCTTATTATTGTTTGAGATTTATAGAACAAATACACACATCAGGTAAGGACCAAATCCTGCAAAATTGCAAATCACGGAAAACTAAGAACTCCATGAGTACTATATAAATCGAAAAAAATATTTAAAATACAGTACTGTTTATACCTATCCAGCTTTGATTATTTTCTTCGTTTTAGATAATATGTTCTGCGTTTTCTGTCTCAAGTTTTGCATCGTTTCATTTGGATTGTTTTCAGCGCAGGATGTGTATCATCGGATACTTTAGTCAAAACAAGCAACCAGTAAGAAAAGTTACGCCTTAATATACCAGCAACTTATAGTTAAATAAATGATCAACACCTGCTGTCATAGCTCCTATACGTAAGAATGAATGGAAATCGTATCCTAATTTTCACAAATGAGCCTTTCCTCAAAATTCACCCAGACTTTCTAAAAAAGTATTCGGCTTCTTTTTCTGAACCTAATCCATGTCAGAATTTCCGGCTGAATTCCCGGACTAGAATCTTCTCTATAAATCACAATTCAAAGAAGTACGGTCCGCATCAAAGGTGTGCTCCGAGCAAATTTTGAATACGGACAAGATCCAGCTATTAAGTACTTCAACAGAATTTAAGACGCTCATCATGGACTGTTCCTTGCGAAAAATCCCATCACGGTATCTCACCCAGAAAGCTGCAGAAACTCATCCCGGAAGAAGGTCGAGCATATTTCATCGCAGAACTGGGCAAAATCACCAGCTATATACGCAGAGGTTCAGGATTTTAAAATACTAAACAAAAGGTAAAAACGATGAGGAAGAAAAGGTCAGTATCTCCAGGGTTCGTTCATCTCGCAGTCAAAAAAAAAGCAGGATAAAAAGAAAGCTACATGAGAGAGAGAGACCATCCAAAGATACGCTTTGCTGGGGATAATGATCATACAGGAACGAAGCCCCATGCGAGAGCAGGACTGCAATTCAAATTTAATATTCCCCCTGAAGGAAGGAAAACGCCGTGTAATTTTTTCGAAATCCATTTCCCGAACTGCACACAAACGCCTCCTGACCGCTGGTTCGATGGCCCAGGGTTATCAATCCACGCATGGGACGCTTCGGATTATTATTTCCCTGCTCATCTCGAAAACCTTGTTGGTGTAGCAGAGGTTCGCTATATCCGAAATCTTGCTACCCGGACACGAACCACGAAGGTCGTAATTACTTGACTCATTTCTTTAAATTTCAAGCAAAGGTATAAAATGCTCACGCCTCACAATATTCTTTGTCGATTTATGCGCGCTGCATCGGATTTTTGATGATATACAGGAATCGCAATTTACGCAGAATGAAAAAAAGATTTTAAAATGTGAACTGTAGTAAACTTGGAAAGATTGAACAAAATTGCTGCCTGATTAATGCACAAGCGTATTTGCGACCATTTTACGATTTTGTTTTAGGTTTTAACAAGTTTTTGTCTCTATTTAGTATATATCGCCTCATGCTACTGAATTTTTAACGTGCCTAATAATCCGAATTGGCGAGCTTCCAGAAAAACTGGAGCATTTATAATGAACTTACAATTTATTCAATATGAAATGGTATGCTTCGAATGCTGTTCACATCTTCTAAGTTACTTGATCCGCATCATCAAATTTCTTGTTCGATTATCAGCCATAAATTTCTCTGCTTTTATAGAGTGTGTTCATATTCTACTGATTCCTAATTATTTCCAAAAATATAAAACTGGACAATGCAAGGATGCCAACCATGAATGAATGAACAGAAAACTTTATTTGCAGCTTTTCAGCGTTCACAAGGCACAACCAAAACTCCCTCAGCCAAACCCCCTCCCCACCCAACTCAACTCCCCCCAAGACATTCAATCACTTCATATCATGAAACAAAGCACAAACCAATGACAAAAACAGAAGAGAACACACTCCACAAAATAAAATAAAACTGGACATCCTACACATATGCTGCATACATCCACCTATGCCAACCATCAGGCACCAAATCACTACTCTGGTTAAAATGATCAAAATTAATGTCTCATTCTGCCTGCCTGTGAAGATAAAATGCTAAAGAACATGTATTCACTGAGCAATTGTGTTCAGAGCATAGAGTTGAATGCTTGTGTATACATGTCAACTGCTGGAAATGAAGAAAAAGATTCTTACAAATAAGACTTGGATAAATTCTCTGGAGTAAAATTTTTGCTGAACATAAGAATAGCTGCAAAGATGACCAGTCTCCAGGTTAGAAAAAAGAATGAATGAATGAATGAACAGAACACTTTATTTGCTGCGTTTCAGCGTTCACAAGGTTCAATCAAGATTTCCACAAACAAACCCCCTTCCCACCCAACCCAAATGCTCTCAATGACATTTTAATCACTTCATAGCAGGAAAGCAGAAATTAATAACAAAAATAAAAGAAAATACAATACAACATGAAATACAACTTGACATCTGGCATGCATGCATACACCCATTCATTCCTTACAGAGAATCTTTGATGAGAAATCGTATAAAGCCAACAGTTTATCTTGATCCTTAAAGATTTCAGAAAGGGTCTCTTCATTGAATTCCAGAAAAAAGAAAGAAAAATAAAGGGATCTCAAATATGTTTGAGACCATCTTTGAATTTAATCATAAAATGAGCCAACAACTTTCCGTGGGCTATTTGAAAGGAGCTAAGATTTGCAACAACAACAAAAACGAATCCCTCAATCCTGTGCAATATGAGGTTTTTTTTAAATGAAAAACACACAATATTTCTCAATATCAAAAGCGCGAACAGGTTAACTTTCATCACGAGAAACTTTCGTCAAATACATAAAATTTATTATAAAAAAAAGTCGTCTTAAAAATTCTGAAACTTCTCTCATGCAGCTTTTTTGTTACCCAGGTCATTTTCTTATGAAGAGACCAACTGCAAGTATAATGCGTTTTTTTCTCGAAATAAATGATGCATGTAGGGTGTTGAAGTTCTCGGGACCTCCAACACCCGCAGAGTGATGCAAAGATACGTTTTAGCAGAGGCGTGTGTCGCTGACCTGGGATGTTTCATGCCAGACTTCATTTCCGTTCCCGTATATTCAGTATACCCCGCAGTCCAAGCATTCTCCGCTTCATTCATTCCGTTTTAGCCCTGGTCATAATTTTGCATTCATTTCCACTGTCGCTCAAACCATGTAATCATCGCTGACGGGGAAACGTGGACAAGGTGTATACACGTATCTTCCTTCATTCTTGTTCTCGACTATATGCTTCGTCAAGTACTGACCCAAGTTTCTTGATGATGAAAACAATATTAGGTGCATTCCCCCCTCCATGTGTGGTGTTATTGGCATAAATATTCAGTTCTTTGCGTCGAAAAAGACCATCATTCAACTGGCACGTCATCATGTATATAGTGGTGAACTATCCGGCCCGGGATTATGAGAAGGAAAAATACGTCGGCTTGCCACAGGAAATATTGT